CGCCAATAATCCCAGCACTTTGGGAGGCCGAGGCAGGTGGATCACGAGGTTAAGAGATTGAGACCATCCTGGTCAACAAGGTGAAACCCCGTCTCTATTAAAAATACAAAAATTAGCTAGGCATGGTGGTGCGCACCTGTAATCCCAGCTACTCGGGAGGCTGAGGCAGGAGAATTGCTTGAACCCAGGAGGCAGAGGTTGCGGTGAGCCAAGATCGTGCCATTGCACTCCAGTCTGGGCAACAAGAGCGAAACTCTGTCTCAAAAAAAAAAAAAAAAGCATGGGTCTCAACAAGACTGCCGTCACTTCAGATACCACCTGCACTTCTAATCAACTGGCCACAAATCTGGGAGGGTTCCCAAGGTTGGATAATTTGTTATAATGACTCATAGAACTCAGGAAGAGCTCTATACTTACATTTACAGTTTTATGTTTGTTTGTTTTTTTAAACAAAGAATACAAATCAGGAACAGCCAAATGAAGAGGCTCATAAGGCAAGGTCTGGGAGGGTCCCAAATGCAGACGTTCTGGGCCAGCTTTCAGTGGATGCAGTAGCATCACTGTCCTGGCGTACTGATATGTTCACCAAGAGGCTGCACTGAGCTTCAAAGTCTAGAGTGGTTTTACTTGGGTTTCATTACATAGGCGTGACTCATCCCACATGACTGAACTCAGCTCCAGATCCCCACCCCTCCCTGACTTTGGGCTGCCTCAAAGACCCAAATTTCTCATCCCATAGTTGGTCTTTCTGGTGTCTAGATCCCACTGTGAGTCATCTCATCTCTTAGTATAAATTCAGGTATGATCCAAGGGGCTTACGAATATAGCAAAGACACTTGAAAATTTCAAGGAATCAGAGTCTCTCTTCCAGGGACCAGGGACAAAAATCATCTTTACTATAGAGGTCTTTGGTCCAACAGGAAACGTTATTAATAATTTCACGAAATTTTAGCCTTTGAAATCTTAATTTTCTGTATGACAAACTGGGTAGTATGCCTAAAGTATTTCTGTTTCATACCAAAGTACAAAGGTTTTCCTATTGAAAAACAGAAAAGTGCTCGCACAGTTCCTGGAGTATAAGGTGAACTAGCCGTTTTTCATGGAATATCATTTTTACTTCAAAGAATGACAAACTGTGACTATTAGGAGACGTTTTCTTAAAAATAAATCAAAAGAGTCTATCACTTCAAGAAAACTAAGAGTATTTCTTGCTGATGAGAAAATTTGAGCTTTCAAGTGAAAATCAGAATTTTTGAAAACTTGATGCACATATTCCAGGACCTCCTGAGTGATGTCACTGGCGGGAGGAAAAAAAAAAAGACAATTTTTGAAAACTTGTATCAAGTGTCAACATTTAGCAGGATCTGAATGATCCAGTAAACCAATATTTTCCAAATAACCAAGGCACAATGTTATTAAGTAATAATACAAAGGTGGGAGACGATCCAAGATGGCCGATCGCTAACATCCTGGGATTGCAGCTCTCAGGGAAGGCGCGGAGAACTAGAGGACGCCACACTTTCAGACAAATTCTGGTCGCTTACTGAGCAGGAGATCCCCCAGTGGAGGAAACACACGGGTGGCCAGCGCGACTCTCGTGGCCGGTGCAGCGGTTCCGCCGGCACCTTGGCGCGGCAGCTCTCGGAGCAAAGTAAACAGGTTCGGAGGACCGGCCGGGTCCCCAGCAGGACACCAGAGCCCGGCAGCGGCTGTGACGGCACCTCGGCGCGGAGCGCTCGGCACAGAGTAAACAGGACCGGTTTCCCTTCTGACCGAGGTTTGGAGCCCCGGGAAGGCAGAGTCGCCTACTACGGACACAAGAAGGAAGCCAGACAGGAGAATCCTGGGCAGAAAAACACCATCAGTTTTAACACCGCTGCTCTGGCCCTGGGAACTAACAACCTGGATGTCCACTCAAGAGACCTAATCTGAAAGTTGGTCATTTCAAAGAGACAGGAGGATAAATTTACAATGACGGGAAGAAACCAGCGTAAAAAAGCTGAGAATACTCAAAATCAGAACGCCTCTCCCTCTAAAGACGATCACAGTTCCACATCAACAATGGAACAAGGCTTGATGGAGAACGAGCGCCTCCTGATGACAGAATCACTCTTCAAGGAATGGATAATAACAAACTTCGGTGAGTTAAAAGAACATGTTGTAGCCCAACGTAAAGAAACTAGGAACTTTGAAAAAAGGTTTGATGAAATCCTATTGAGAATAGACAACTTAGAGCGGAGTATGAGTGAATTAATGGAACTGAAGAATACAATATAGGAACTCCGAGAAGTATGCACAGGTTTAAACACTCGAATTGTTCAAGCAGAAGAAGGGATATCAGAGGTCAAAGTCCAACTTAATGGAATAAAACGTGAAGAAAAGATTAGAGAAAAAAGGATAAAAAGGAATGAGCAAAGTCTCCAAGAAATGTGGGACTATGTGAAAAGACCAAATTTATGTTTGATAGGTGTACCTGAATGCGATGGAGAGAATGAATCCAAGCTGGAAAATACCCTTCAGGATATTATTCAGGAAAATTTTCCTAAACTAGCAAAGCAGGTCAACATTCAACCCCAGGTAATACAGAGAACACCACAAAGATATTCCTCAAGAAGAGCAACCCCAAGGCACATAATCGTTAGATTCACCAGGGTTGAAACGAAGGAGAGGATACTAAGGGCAGCCAGAGAGAAAGGTCGGATAACCCACAAAGGCAAGCCTATCAGACTTACAGCAGATCTCTCGGCAGAAACTCTACAGGCCAGAAGAGAGTGGGGGCCAATATTCAACATCCTCAAAGAACAGAACCTTCAGCCCAGAATTTCATATCCAGCCAAACTAAGCTTCACAACTGAAGGAAAAATAAAATCTTTTATGAACATGCAAGAACTCAGAGATTTTATTAGCACCAGGCCTGCTTTACAAGAGCTTCTGAAAGAGGCATTACACACAGAAAGAAACAACCAGTATTAGCCTTTCTAAAAATACACCAAAAAGTAAAGAGCACCAACATAAAGAAGAATTTACACCAACGAATGGATAAAACAGCCAGTCAACATCAAATGGCAGTAACCCTAAATTTAAATTGACTAAATCCCCCAATCAAAAGACACAGCCAAAACCCAATGGCATTTTACATCCAGACCTGTTTCACATGCAAGGATACACAAAGACTCAAAACAAAGGGATGGAGAAAGATTTACCAACCAAATAGAGAGCAAAAATAAATAATAAGTAAACAAAAAGCAGGAGTTGCAATTCTGGTATCGGAGAAAATAGATTTTAAAGCAACAAAGATATAGTGGTAAAAGGATCAATGCAACAACAAGAGCTAACGATCCTAATACCCAGATACGAGACTTAGATTCAATGAGACAGAAAATTAATAAGGATATCAAGGACTCGAACTCAGATCCGGAACAAGTAAACTTAATAAATATTCATAGAGCTCTCCACTTCAAATACACAAAATATACATTCTTGTCAATACCACATCACACCTACCCATAAGTTTAAATGAAACATTGATTGGCCATTATTAATACTCAATTTTTTTTCAAAATAAAGCAATATTTCCATTTACTCTCCCTCTTTCTCTTCCTCTTTCTTCCTCTCCTTTACTTATTTTTTTTTTTTCTTTCCTTCTCTCAAAAAAAAAAGAAATCAACTTGTAAACCTCTAGATCCAGGTCGGCAATGTCTCTCTCATTGCTTGATTTCCTTCCTTCCCTTCCCTCCCTCCCTCCCCTCCCTCCCTCCCCGCTTCCTCCCTTCCTTTCTTCCTTCCTTCATCCCTTCCTTCCTCCCTACCGTCCTTCTTCCCTCCCTCCCCGCTTCCTCCCTTCCTTTCTTCCTTCCTTCATCCCTTCCTTCCTCCCTACCGTCCTTCTTCCCTCCCTCCCCGCTTCCTCCCTTCCTTTCTTCCTTCCTTCATCCCTTCCTTCCTCCCTACCGTCCTTCTTCCCTCCCTCCCCGCTTCCTCCCTTCCTTTCTTCCTTCCTTCATCCCTTCCTTCCTCCCTACCGTCCTTCTTCCCTCCCTCCCCGCTTCCTCCCTTCCTTCCTTCCTTTCTTCATCCCTTCCTTCCTCCCTACCGTCCTTCTTCCCTCCCTTCCTACCTTCCTCCCCCCCCAAAAAAAAAAAAAAAATACAAAGGTTAAAAATCCATTCAAGGCCGGGTGTGGTGGCTCAGGCCTGTAATCCCACCACTTTGGGAGGCCGAGGTAGGCGGATCACAAGGCTAGGAGTTCAAGACCAGCCTGGCCAATATGGTGAAAACCCATCTCTACTAAAAATATAAAAATTAGCTGGGCGTGGTGGCATACGCTTGTAGACCCAGCTACTTGGGAGGCTGAGGCAAGAGAATTGCTTGAACCTGGGAGGTGGAGGTTGCAGTGAGCCAAAATTGGGCCACTGTATGCTAGCCTGGGCGACAGAGTGAGATTTCGTCTTGAAAAAAAAAAAAAAAAAAAAAATTCAAAATCAATAGATTTTAGACTAATAGACTAGACTGTACCAAATAGAATCCCCTCTTTCTACCAAAGAAAAAAAATTAGCAGGTTATTATGGCATGCACTTGTCAAAGGCCGGGTGTGGTGGCTCACACCTGTAATTCCAGCACTTTAGGAGGCAGATCACCTGACTTCGGGACTTTGAGACTAGCCTGGCCAACATGGTAAAATCCTGTCTCACTAAAAATACAAAAGTTAGCTGTGCATGGTAGGCGCCTGTAATCCCAGCTACTCAGGAGGCTCAGGTAGGAAAATCACTTGAACCCAGGAGGTAGAGGTTGCAGTGAGCAGAGATCATACCATTGCACTCCACCTGGGCAACAAGAGTGAAACTCGGTCTCAAAAAAAAAAAAAAAAAAAAAAAAGACAGTGAAGAGAAATAAAATACTTTATACATAGAATGTGAATAAAATAGATATGAGCACTAAAAAGAATACCCAAAGGTTTATCTACCTGAGGTAGAAAGAAAATAATACCACTTACTGCTTACCAGGACTATGATGAGCTGCAAATTCTCCATTCTGAAATATGTCTCCTGCCACATTCATTCTACCAGGGTTAAAAGGTCTTACTCCAGTCTTGGTCTGTGGAGTTAAAGATGGGGTGTATGTTTGTATATTAACAGCAAAATTACTTGACTGAAGTCCTTTAGCGACATCTCCCAAGTTGGTATTCTATAGTGATGTTTTATATGTAATCATTATGTTCATATCTTGCCCAGCATTCACAGAGCTTATACCTGTTTCTAATGTTGTAACATTAGTAACAAGGTATTTCAGTCAATTCTGTAGTGATACCACTATTACCCATTCCTGCATTTACCTTATTTCTTGAAAGACTGGAAGTGGAGAAATCCAAATCTTTGGTTTTGTTTTTAGTTCCAGGAAGTCCCCATTCAATAAAACAGGAAGAATTTTTCTCCACTCCTCCATTTGGTTCTATGTCCTCTTCATCATCAATAACAATTGTCTCACTTATATTTCCTTTCTGAGATGCCAAATCTCTTGAAGAAAGAGAAATTACAGAATAATTTCCTTGTGGCTTTTCATTTTTTGATGACATAAATCTAAAGTTTCTTTGATCAACTATTGCTGGAGCCGAAACTGAAGAAGGTTGTATAGATTCAATAAATACAACATCATCATCATCATCATCATCTTCCCCTGTTGAGTTTCTACATCTACTGACTAAAGGATGAGCTGGATGACCAAATGAATCTCCTACGTCCCTGAGAGTAGTTGCCATGGCCATATCTCCTAATAAAGCAGGAGTCTGTTCAGTCAATTCTAATCCTCCCATTGAACATTTATCCATGCCAATGAACCTGTAAAGAGACAGAAAAGAAAGAAAAATTCTAGTATGTTATGGTTTTTGCATTTTGCTACAATAAAATAGTATAAGTAAAATTTTCAAATTGTTTTATTTATGTGATACCTGATATCCATTCTCTTTTTCCTCTACTGTTAACTGTTTACTTCAGAGTTTAATGGAAATTAATTATATAATCTTGGTAATCCTTTAAAAAAATGTAATCAATTTATGGGACTCACTTTAGTCACTCTTCATAGTGAAAAAATGCCCGTCTTCCTTTGAATTAGAAAATAGTAACAAAATAATTATATTCAATACCAATAACTTAGGGTCCTAATATAATCACTTATATTCCATATGCGTTTATCTACTACAGTGTTTATGATATGGCTCTATTTACCAAGGGTCATTGTTTTTTTTTTTCCAAAATCTCTTCTTCCAAAATAACTATGTGGTTATCTTTCTACATCTTTTTTATCCTTGTATAGAAAGCAATAAGTCCATTTATGCCAGATACTATGCTATGGGCTTTTTGCAGAAAGTAAAATTCTCAAAACCCCATAATGGTAGGTATAATTTACTCTTCTATAGTTCAAGAAATTGAGGCCTAGAGAAGCTAACTAAATTGTTCCAGATAAGCCTTTGGGGTAAGACTTAAACTCAGGGCTCTAACACTAGGCCCCAGATACTTTTTTTTTTTGAGACAGGGTCTCACTCTGTTGCCCAGGCTGGAGTGCAGTTGTGCAATCCTGGCTCACTGCAGCCTTAACCTCCTGGGTTCAAGCAATCCTCCCAAGTAGCTAGGACTACAGGCTCTTGCCATCACAACCCAGCTAATGTTTCATAAATTTTTTGGAGCAAGGGTCTTACTACATTGCTCAGGCTGGTCTCAAACTCCTGGCCTCAAGCAATCCTCCTGCTTTCCAAAGTACTGGGATTATAGGCACAAGTCATGGTACCTGGCCTAGCCCCAAATTCTTAACTTGTTAATACTCAACATTTTGTATACTTACTATGCATTAAATTACAATGAAGGAAAGAACCTAGAGGAGAAACAATAGTTGAAAAATCTGGAAGTGAATAACTGATGGAACATGGAAGGATCTTAAGCAGATGAGAGATAAGGACATGTACAGAGGTGGTAATGAAATTGATCATGTATAAGAATCACTTCTGGCCAGGCGTGGTGGCTCACACCTATAATCCCAGCACTTTGGAAGGCTGAGGCAGGTGGATCATAAGGTCAAGAGATCGAGACCATCCTGGTCAACAAGGTGAAACCCCGTCTCTACTAAAAATACAAAAATTAGCTGGGCATGGTGGTGCACGCCTGTAGTCCCAGCTACTCGGGAGGCTGAGGCAGGAGAATTGCTTGAACCCAGGAGACGGAGGTTGCAGTGAGCCAAGATTGTGCCATTGCACTCCAGTCTGGGTAACAACAGCGAAACTCTGTCTAAAAAAAAAAGAAAAAAAAAGAATCACTTCTATCTCAACTGCAAGAAGGCAAATTAAGTATAATTGGAATGTACGTAAATATACAGAAACAATACATGGGATTATACATGCTGTTCTCAATTTTCAATTTTTTTTCTTTTAGTGGAGGTGAGTGAGGTCTCACTGTATTGCCCGGGGTGGTCTTGAACCCCTGAGCTCAAGTGATCCTCCACCTCAGCCTTTCAAAGTACTATGATTACAGGAATGAGCCACCACGACAGTCCTGGCCTCAGTTTTCTTTTTTTTTGTGATGGGGTTTTTCTCTTTCACCCAGGTACAGTGGCACCATTTCAGCTCACTGCAATCTCCACCTCTTAGGCTCAAGTGATCCTTTGCCCTTAGCTTTCAATTAGCTACGTGGCAACAGGCAAATTATGCCACCTCACTGAGTTTTAGTTTTCTAAACTATGAACGGGGATAATATATAGCTTTAAGGTTTTTAATGAGATGAGTAGACATGCAAATTCCTGGCATACTGCCTGGTCCATATTACAGAGTGTAACAAATATCAAATTATGGCCAGGCCCAGTGGCTCATGCCTATAATCCCAGCACTGTGGAAGGCTGAGGCAGGTATCTTTACAAAAAATACAAATATTAGCCAGGCATGGTGGCATGTGCTTGGAGTCCTAGCCATTCAGGAGACTGAGGCCAAGAGAATTGCTTGAACCCAGGAGGTGAAAGTTGCAGTGAGCCAAGATCATGCCACTGCACTCCAACCTGGGTGATACAATGAGACTGTCTCAAAAACAAACCAAAAATCCTTTCCAATAAAAGGTATTTAGGCAAATATTGTGCTATATCACTACATCCTAGGATTTTAGCAACTGCCTAATTTTAAATATTTATCTAGTATTCTTGTGGTATCTTATTCACGCACAAATTATAACACAAGCAAAATGCTTAAATGCAAACTATCTCTAGAGGATGAGTAATGACATTGTAAATTTAACAGGATATTTAATTAGGGGTAAAGATAAAGAGTTAACACTAAAACAAAGAAATGAATAAATGTACTTTGACCTATTATATTTAGCTCTCTTCTTGTAGACTACTTTCAGAGACACTTCATAATTGAGTATACAATCACTCACTCCTATTTAAAATCAGATATAAAGGTGTACCATGATTCTGAAGGTACTAACAAAAGTAATGAGATCAGAAAAAGAAGAGTAAACTGAACTACCACCACAAGTAGCAAGAGAACTGTTGCAGGAACTAGGTACAAAATTACTATCTAAATTGGGCATGGTGGCTCACATCTGTTATCCTAACATTTTGGGAGGCCAAGGCAGGAGGATCACTTGAGGCCAGGAATTCAAGACCAACTTGGGCAACAAAAGGAGAACTCATCTCTACAAAAAAACCAAAGGCCAGGTACGGTGGCTCATGCCTGTAATCTCAGCATTTTGGGAAGCGAAGTGAGGTGGGAGGATAGCTTGAGCCCAGGAGTTCAAGAACAGCCTGGGCAAAGTAGAAAGACCCTTCTCTACAAAAAATTTAAAAATTACCCAGGCATGGTGGCACATGCTTGCAGTTCCTGCTACTTGGGAGGCTGAGGTGGAAGGATGGCTTGAACCCAGGAGGTCAAAGCTGCAGTGAGCCATGATCATACCACTGTACTCCAGCCTGGGCAACAGAGCAAGACCCTGTCTCAAAAATAAATAAAAAATAAATAGAATAAGATAAAATACATTAGCTCGGCATTGTGGTGCACACCTGTAGTCCCCAGCTACTTGGGAGGCTGAGGCAGGAGAATCACTTGAGTTCAGAAGTTCAAGGCTGTAGTGAGCGATGACTGTACCACAGCACTAAAGTCTGGGCAAAGAGTGAGACCCTGTCTCTGAAAAAGAAAAAAAAAAAAAAAAAAAAGATGGTAGATTGATCACATACAACTAACTTCATTCCCTTCCAAAACTCCCCTAAACAGTACTATCACAAGGAAAGGAAGAGCAAGAGAAGAAACAAAAGCAACATGATTTTATAAGCCGAAGAAGAGATGGATGAATGGTTAACTAACTACCAGTCTGAGATAGCCAGAGTCTACAACAGTGAAGAAAAGCCAAAAAAAATTCTGATTTATGCTGTAGGCTCAGGAATATATAGCACCAGATACCCCTGGAACAGGATGGGCAGATGCTGAAAAAGGAGGTTGACAGATTTCTTCCCTCCATCATGCTGATGGTGGCAGGCCTTTCTCCATCCTAGCACAGATTCTCAGCATTTTTTCTTTGACAAGATAGAACATAAAGATCTAAGTCTTGGGTTCATCAAGCACTGGGGAATGTTTCAACACCCATGAAATGTCCCCCTTTCTACTTGATTCCCAGAGAGCTGGCATCCAGACCTGTATTTTCCAGGCAACAAACTTCTCTGGAAGCTTTCTCAGCAAGACTCTTCCCTGTGGAACTAAGAACCAGAAAAAAAGGAAAGTCCTAAAAATATTAACCCATGGGGTTCTCCATCAATTGACCAAAAGATCATCCTATTATTAAGCTTCAAGTTGAAAGCCCCACTCTCACTCTTCCAATTTGCTTCTTAGTTCCCAATTCTTTTTTTTTTTTTTTTTTGAGACGGAGTTTTGCTCTTGTTGCCCAGGGTGGAGAGCAACGGCATGATCTTGGCTCACCACAACCTCCTCCTCCCGGGTTCAAGTGATTCTCTTACCTCAGCCTCCCAAGTAGCTGGGATTACAGGCATGCACCACCATGCCTGGCTAATTTTTTGTATTTTTAGTAGAGACAGGATTTCTCCATAGTGGTCAGGCTGGTCTCAAACTCCCGACCTCAGGTGACTCACTAACCTTGGCCTCCTAAAGTGTTGGGATTACAGGCGTGAGCCACCGTGCCCAGCCAGTTCCCAATTCTTAATCACGAATAAATCAGGCAAGAATTATGTAATAGATATAACACCTACTATATACCCATAAAAAAATTTAAAATAAAACCTTTTTTTTTAAAAGGAATCAAGCTATCCACCCACCTTGCACCTATAATCCCAGCACTTCGAGAGGCTGGGGCGGGTGGATCACTTAGGTCAGGAGTTCAAGACCAGCCTGGCCAACATGGTCAAATCCTATCCCTACTAAAAATACAAAGATTATGCTGAGCGCGGTGGCACACATCTGCAGTCCCAGCTATCAGGAGGCCGAGGCATGAGAATCACTTGAACCCAGCAGACAGAGGTTGTGGTGGGCCTACATCACGCCACTGCATTCCAGCCTGGGTGACAGGATAAGACTCCGTCTCAAAAAAAAAATTATAGATGGAATCTTGCTCTGTTGCCCAGGCTGGAGTGCAGTAGTGTGATCTCGGCTCACTACAACCTCTGCCTCCTGGGTTCAAGTGATTCTCCTGCCTCAGCCTCCCGAATAGTTGAGATGACAGGTGCCCACCACCACGCCTGGCTAATTTTTGTATTTTTAGTAGAGACAGGATTTCACCACGCTGACCAGGCTAGTCTCGAACTCCTGACCTCAGGTGATCCATCCCCCTTGGACTCCCAAAGTGCTGGGATTACAGGCATGAGCCACCATGCCTAGCCAACGCTTCTAATATAAAAAGAACTGCTGGAAATTAAAAGCTTAGTGGCAGAAATGAAAAATTTAGCAATAAGAGTTAAAAGATAAAGCTGAGAAAATATCGAGAAATAAAGGAAAAAAATGAAGAGGATAAGAATTACGTATCTCAGGTGGTGGGGGACAATTATATCTCCCACTAACTACATGCATGTGTGTGTCCCAAACATTATAGACCAGGCTTTTTTGTTTTCTTAAGACAGGGTCTGGCTCTGTTGCCCAAGGTGGTATGCTGTGGAACATAGTTCACTGCAAGACTGCATCTCCTGGGCTCAAATAATCCTCCTAACTTGGCCTCTCAGAGTGCTGGGATTATACAAGTGAGTCACAGCGCCTGGGTCACTTTACACATTTTTTTGAGACAGTCTCCATCTGTTGCTCAGGGTGGAGTATGTGATGTGACCACTGCTTACTGCAGCCTCCACCTCCTGGATTCAAGAGATCCTCCTACCTCAGCTTCCTAAGTAGCTGGGACTACAGGTGTGTGGCACCACGCTCTGCTAATTTTTGTATTTGTTGTGGAGACAGAGTTTTGCCATGTTGTCCACACTAGAACTCCTGGGCTCAAGCTACCCACCCACCTCAGCCTCCTAAAGTGGTTGGATGACAGGCATGAACCACTTTGCCCAGCCACTTTACCTATCTACCACATCCTGACACAGTCCTAAGTTTAAACTAACTAAAGAGGTGTGCTGCAAAATGTAAGAAAATAAGAGCAAATAAGTTAGCAGAAAGCAACAAGGGTAAAAGCAAGGCAGGAATACTCCTACGGGAGATAAACAAATCAGAAGTTTGTTTTTGTTTGTTTGGGTTTTTCTTTGAGATGTAGTTTTGCTCTGTCACCCAGGCTAGAGTGCAGAGGTGCGATCTCTGTGGTCATGGCAACCTCCACCTCCCGGATTCAAGTGATTCTCCTGCCTCTGTCTCCCTAGTAGGTGGGATTACAGGTGCTCGCCACCACACCCAGCTAATTTTTGTATTTTTAGTAGAGATGACGTTTCACCATGTTGGTCAGGCTGGTCTCAAACTCCTGACCTCAGGTGAGCCACCTATCTTGGTCTCCCAAAGTGCTGGGATTACAGGCAAGAGCCACTGTGCCCAGTCACAAGTTTGTTTTTGATGAGCAATGGAGAACTGTTTGATCAAGGTTGAAAGGACAAAATTGGCAAGAACTGAATCCTAGATAGTAAAAGTAGAAGTAGGATGGGCACAGTGGCTCACGCCTGCAATCCCAGCACTTTGGGAGGTGGATGGATCACCTGAGGTCAGGAGTTCCAGACCAGCCTGGCCAATATGGTGAAACCCTGTTTCTACTAAAAATACAAAAGTTAGTCAGGCATGGTGGTGCATGTCTGTAATCCCAGCTACTTGGGAGGCTGAGGCAGGAGAATCGCTTGAACTCAGAAGTAGAGGTTGCAGTGAGCTGAGACCTCACCACGGCACTCCAGCCTGGGTGACAGAGAGACTCCGTCTCAAAAAAAAAAACAAAAACAACACCCACTCTATCCCCAGTACTGCAGTTGGACCAAGCACTTTTAGCTTTGTCTCCTCCTTGCGGTTCCTACAGTTCTACAGGAACTACTACAAATGTAGAAGTAGAGCTTGTTAAAAAAGAAAATCATTCTGTCACTCCTAATGAAATTATTGATTCACACAAGCATTGGTGTTAAAACCATTAAGTTAATAGCTGACAGAGAAAGGGCATTTGTACTGTACCAAAATGAACACATAGATCACTGTCTAGCAGCAAAAAACCCTGAAGACAAAAACCAACAGAGAGAGATCAGGCCACTCAGATTCAGTGGTCAATCTTAGGAATAGTGTGACAAATAGTTTACGTTATCTCCTCATGTGATGCTCGCTGGAGGACTGACAGGGTACATAAATAACAGTCTTCCTCAAATATAAGTCAAACACCAATGTCAAAACAACAGATTATTCTGTAGTTTCTTTTCAATCTGACTGTAAAAAAGTTTTTCCAATCTATTGGAAAAGAAAAAATTGTTAAATGCAAGGCATTTAAAAGAGCTAACTGGCCAGAGGCAGTGGCTCACGCCTGTAATTCCAACACTTTAGGAGGCCGAGGTGGGTGGATCACCTGAGGTCAGGAGTTTCAGACCAGCCTGACCAATGTGATGAAACCCCAACTCTACTAAAAATGCAAAACTTAACTGGCATGGTGGCGTGCGCCTATAATCCCAGCTAGTCGGGAGACTGAGACAGGCAAACCGCTTGAACTCGGGAGGCGGAGGTTGCAGTGAGCTGAGATCGTGCCACTGCACTCCAGCCTGGGCATAAGAGTGAAACTCCGTCTCAAAAAAAAAAGAGAGAGAGCTAACTTTAAATCTTGTTTTGGAACTTGAAAGAGTTCCCGTGGTATAAATGCCAGCACTCCCCATGCCTTCCCAAGGACTACCATGGCCTGGCTCTGGGGACAGGGCCACCCAAGCAATTAGCTTGAAGGCCAGGGCCTTCAAGATAACACAAACACAAATCCCTCAGGAAGAACACCCTACTATTGCACTAATTATATTAGACAACCAAGCAGGGTAAAAAAGACTCACAATAGAGATATTTCCTTCTCAATTTCTGCCAAAGCTTCACGACATTGGCTTGAAGGTAATTCTGGATCCTAGAATGAGAAATGAAAAACAATTTCGGGACAAGCAACCTGGATGCATAACCAACCCAACACAAGGAGGTGGCAATGAGGTAAGAATACAAGGAGTTCCTGGGCCCTACTACCCTCCCCAACCCTAATGATGCCGAGAAACCAAGTTGAAAAAAAGAACTATAGGAACCGCAAGGAGGAGACAAAGCTAAAAGTGCTTCGTCCAACTGCAGTACTGGAGATAGAGTGGGTTCGGGAGTCCGAGCCTGGTCCCGGGAGCGGAGAGGGAAGGGAAAACGTTGCCTTGACGCCAGCAAGGGATTTGTATTCCCTCCTAAATTGCCCACCCAGCGTCATCTCTGTGACTCCAAGTACCATTTCAGAGGTAACGGGAGGCGGGCGTCACGGCTTGGCCCAAAACTGCTTCAAGAAGTTGCCCTGGGGCCCCTGCAGTCAACGACAGGCCCCAGATCCGCCATTAAACTAGCCCAGATAAGAAGCAAAGAGTAAAAGCCGCGCAGCGTGAGGGAAAAGAAAAGCGGGAGGGGACTCGGCGGGGCAGTGGCAGCAGCACTCGCCCTGAAAAACTTAAGTACCTCGGCTCCGGCGGACTGGGTGGCAGCGCGGCCCAGAAAGCAGAGACTCGGCCGGTGCGCCCCTTCCCCGCCCCCCGCAGGAGAGAAAGGAAAATGCCCCGCGACCTCCCCCGGCGGCCGGGACCTCCGCCCCGCCGCCCCGCTGGCCCCGCTACCCCCGCCGCTGGCGGCCGCCTCACCCAGCTCTCACGGCCTGGCCCGCACTCTCTCAGCCTCTTGGGCAGCATGCAAAGGCGCCTGTGACAGGAGCTCAGCCCGGAGCTGTCCCCGAGGCCCCGACGCGGCAGCGGCGACAGCAGCCGCTCCGCGGGGTATTAATCCTGGGTCCGTGGGAGGCTTCAGAGGCTGCCCTCACCCATCTCCGCCTCCCTAGTCTCCTTCGCCTTCTCCTCCGGAGGCTGCGCTGTTCCCGGCCACCCCCACTCTCGGCGGCCCTGGACTGGGAAGACAGCGGGGATAAGCCTCACCCGGCTCTGGCTGCGGCTCCGCAGAACGAACCTCCCCTCCCCCGGCCCACCCCGCTTCGGCGACACGCAAAACTCGGCTGGATCCCGTCCCAGGTATAGCGCTGGTGAGGAGGAGGAGGCAGAGGAGACAGCTTGATGCCCGGCCCGGGGAGGCCCAGCCATGTGCTTGCTCGTTGGCTGGAAGGGGAGGTGGGCCTGGGAACTCAGGGCACGCCCATTGGCCCCGACGGCCGTCCTTCAGGACAATCCTCCCCCAGCTAGGTGGGGTGGTCCGAAGGGCTGTCCGTCAGGCTCGGGCCACACCCCCGGCCCTACAGTTTCGCTCCCACCTCCACCGGCCTTGGAATCCCCGCTGGGTCCCCTCCAAGCGAGTCCCCCGCGTCCCCCGCCCCCACCCACCGGGTCCTCCAGAGTTAGGAGCCCTAAATTCGCTGCCCGCTGGACCGAAAGCGCCTCGACTCCTCGGGGCTCGGGGTTCTCCCGGGCCTAGACAGCCCGGGAGACTCTGGCGGGGCCTCCTGTCCTGGCCCGAGTTCCGGGCGCCCAGGCCGCGGCTGCGGCTCCCAACGCCTCTGCCCGAGGAGAGACGCGGCGTTGATGCCCCCAATGCCCTCTTTGTCCAATTCCTTGAAGGCCCCCGAGAGGGGCGAGGCCCGAGTGGGGTTTCAGGGCCGCGGGTGAAGTGGAACCCTGATCGCGCTGGGGCCAGTGGAGGCCCTTCCACCCTCGCCGCGCCCCGTGGGGAATAGTCCCCCACCTCCCGCCGTGGCTGCAGCAAGAGGAGACGACGTCCTCTATTTTGTCGGAACGGCTGTGGGAACTTGGGACCCCTTCAAAACCAAGCCCCTTGGGGCCGGGAAACTTGTCCCCGGGAAGCCCCGACTGGGCTTTGCCATTAGGCCAAGGGAACAGCCCCGGCTGCTGGCGTCTACGTCCGCGGAGCCGTAGGGGATGGGCGCGACGTTGGAGAGACCCAGACAACGCTCCCCACCTCCATCAATCAAGATGGAGGGAGCTGCGGGCTCCCCTGGAGCTGGGCTCCCGCCAGTTCGAGGAGCCGGGGCCCGCCCTGGGTCGTCCCTGGGCGCCGCCGTCCTGTGCTTCGCAGCCTGGGGCGCTGGCCCTGTCCAGGCCTGTCCACCACCTGCCACCGTCTCCTGGTCCTCAATGGCTGATGGAGGCTCCTTCCACAGCCTGCTCCATCGTAGGACATACCCTCTGCGGCCCCCTGGGGGAGCGGAGTCAGGGACAGACGGCGCCCGAGAAGGGCGGGCCCCACAGGCCTCACAGGCCTCCTAGGCGTTCTCCACGAGGTGTTTTATCTTTTGTTCTTCGTCTACACCTACGCCTTTGGCGGAAGTCACGGTGCAGAACAATTTCCAAGCCTCCACGTTAAGATGGAAGCAATGCCGCTTTCGTCTCGCCCTGGCGGTCCTTAGTGGGATTACAACTGAGAATGTTGGTCTGGATAGAAGCTGGTGAAATACCTGGCCGTGTGTCTGGAAATACAGTTAATGTGATTTTTAAAAAACACATCGAGCCCCTTTTTACTTCTGTGGTATGGTAAAGGCAAAGATTTACTCAATGAAAATCAGACATTAACCATCTAACGCAGGGGTGGCCAATCTTTTGGCTTCCGCGGACCACATTGGAAGAATTGTCTTGGGCCACACATAAAATACACTGACACTAACATAGCTAATGAGCTAAAACACACACACAAAAGAACCAAAATGCCAATAATAATAATGTTTTAAGAAAATTTACGAATTTGTGTTGGGCTGCATTCAAAGCCGTTCTGGGCTGCATTCAAAGCCGTTCTGGGCTGCATGCAGCCCAAGGGCTGTGGGTTGGATGAGCTTGATCTAAGCCGAAAGCATGTTCATGGACTGATGAGAGTGCTGTGTAAGCCTTTGCGTGCTACTTAGTGCTGTATTTCATGGACATGCCAAATATCACATTTTAAGGCCCCTAATTAGTATTGGAAATAAATGAATTACACGTAGTGTTATCATGTTAATGACTGTTGTAAATTGAAAGCATCTTTTTTCTTTTAAAGGTGGTTGAGTTCAAAGCCAGTGGTTCACTGAGTTCGTGGAGAAGGGCTCCATAGAGAAAATTTAGCGCTCTCACAAAAGCTAAATGTTAAGCTCATTAGCCACATGTAATCCATTTTATGAATCTGTATCTTTTTCACAATTTTTTGTCATTGATACTGTTCAAAGGTTAAATTGGGTAATGTTTCTTTTTCCGGATAATGGCAACAGTAACAGTTTCAAGTGCCAATGAAAACCCTCACCTCAGTATGCTGCCATGATTTCGAAGGGTGTTGAACATTTAGAAAAAAAAAGTCTTCATTGTTCAACAAGATAGTGTTATTTATTGTAAATCTTGATAATTCAGGACTCCTGGCTAATGTAAAGTCACAAAATTATGAACAAGACTATGCAAAGGGGCCAGATGACCTGACATTGAATCATAACTTTATCACTAGTAGCTGTGTGATCATATTAATAGACGAGTTACTGGTCGGGTGCGGTAACTCAAGCTTGTAATCCCAGCATTTTGGGATGTCCAGGTGGGCAGGTCACCTGAGGTTAGGAGTTTGAGACCAACCTGGCCAGCATGAAGAAACCCCTTCTCTCCTGAAAATACAGAAATTAGCCAGGCATGGTGGCAGGCACCTGTAATCTCAGCTACCCAGGAGGCTGATACCCAGGAGGCTGAGGCAGGAGAATCGCTAGATCCCAGAGGCAGAGGCTGCAGTGAGCCGAGATCGTACCACTGCACTCTAGCCTGGGCAACAAAGCAAGACTCTGTCTCAAAAAAAAAAAAAAAGACAAGTTACTCAGCTTCACTTTTATCATTTTAAAAATGTAACAGAAATACCTAAGAAGTTTTTTTTTTTTGAGAATTAAACAAATTGGATGGACACAATGACTCACGCCTGTAATCCCAGCTACTTGGGAGGCTGAAGCAGGAGAATCACTTGAACCCAGGAGGTGGAGGTTGCAGTGAGCACACCAAGAGGTGGAGGTTGCAGTGAGCCAACACGGCACCTCTGCACTCCAGCCTGGGCGACAGAGCAAGACTCTATATAAAAAAAAAAAAAAAAAAAAAAAAGCTGGGTGTGGTGACTCAAGCCTGTAATCTCAGCACTTTGGGAGGCCATGGCGGGCGGATCACGGGGTCAAGAGATCAAGACCATCCTGATCAACATGGTGAAACCCCGTCTCTACTAAAAATACAAAAAATTAGCTGGGCATGGTGGCGTGTGCCTGTAATCCCAGCTACTCAGGAGGCTGAGGCAGGAGAATTGCCTGAACCCAGGAGGCGGAGGTTGCAGTGAGCCGAGATCGCGCCATTGCACTCCAGCCTGGGTAACAACAGCGAAACTCTGCTCAAAAAACAAAACAAAACAAACAAACAAAAAAAACCCACACATATGACACTTAGAATTGTACCTGGCACATTAATAAAAGCTTGTACATTTTACCTGTCATTGTTAATTCCCAATTAGCACAGTGCAGTAGTACATTAAGAAAAAAATTATTCCAGCTTGGGTAACATAATGGGACCTAGTCTCTAGAAAAAAAATTTAAAAATTAGCCAGAAGTGGTGCATGCCTGTATTCCCAGCTACTCAGGAGGCTGAGGTGGATCACTTGAGCCCAGGAGGTCAAGGCTGCAGTGAACCATGATTGTGCCACTGCACACCAGCATCTGGGTGCAAAGTGAGACCCTATCTCAAAAACAAAGAAATTGTTTATAATACTTTAGTGAAACAAAAGTATCTTTAATGTAACATCAGCACTTTCTTACTATTGTAATAAAAAAAGAAAATATTGCTGTGTACACTGGCTCACACCTGTAATCACAGCACTTTGGGAGGCCGAGGCAGGGAGATCATGAGGGCAGGAGATTAAGACCATCCTGGCCAACATGGTGAAACCCTGTCTCTACTACAAATATAAACATTAGCCGGGTCTGACGGTGCACGCCTGTAGTCCCAGCTATTCAGGAGGCTGAGGCAGGAGAATCGCTTTAACCTGGGAGGTTGAGGTTGCAGTGAGCTGAGATCTCACTCCAGCCTGGACAAAAAAACAGTGAAACTCCATCTTAAAAAAAAAAAAAGAAAGAAAGAAAAGAAAATATTTAATTATTGGAGTTAATATGTAAAATAAACCTTGGAGGACTGTAATTGGAACCAAAGTTTGTTTATTCTTTGAAAGTGTGTTACTATAATATTCTTAAATCGTCATCCAAGTAATTCATAGGGATATTAGAAGCATAGATCAAAAACAACTGGGGTGGGGAAGAGAGAGAAAAGGGACTGAGGGAATTAATGCTTATCTTGGACAAACCAGTCAAAAGGTATTTTAAGCAATAAAATAATTATGAAAATTTATCAGAAGAGAAGGAACAGAATCTAAGATTTAAAAAACATAAGATGACTGGTTGCTATATTTTAGAAAAGATCTCTAGAATCAGTAGGATGATTTTTTTTTCTTTGTGATGGAGTCTTGCTCTGTTGCCCAGGCTGGAGTGCAGTGGTACAATCTTGGCTCACTGCAAACTCCACCTCCGGGTTTGAACGATTTTCCTGCATCAGCCTCTGGAGTAGCTGGGATTACAGGTACTTGCCACCACATCCAACTAATTTTTGTATTTTTTAGTGGAGTTGGGGTTTCGCCATGTTGGCTAGGCTGGTCTCAAACTCCTGACCTCAAGTGATCCACACATCTGAGCCTCCCAGAGTGCTGGCATTACAGGCGTGAACCACCACACCTGGCCTGAAACTAGTTTTATGTAAGACTGTTGTGATAACTTGCTGCAACTTTAGGACTAATTTTGCCCACCGCCGTCGTTCACCAGTTGGAGCTTGCCAGCTCCCCAGAACCTTACTAGTGCCAGAGAGCTTTCTCAACAAGCAGTACATAACACTTCTTTTCATAAAAACCCCAACCTTCTCTTTGTTCCTCAGACATAAAGAAAACCACCTGATCTGTATGTATGCTCCCAGTTGCAATGCTTTCTCCCCAAATAAAACATTAGAGATTCATCTCTACCATTTTATTTTTATATCAACAGTTGTTTTACAAATATCCTTCAGAGGGATCAATTATTTTACTGTGATGAGCATAGTCAGAGATTAAAGTTTGTGTAATAGCGTTTTCTTTTAATCTATTCTAGGTATTCTATTGATAGTCATAATGTTTCAACTTTGGTCATTTCAATTTTGCTTCTGAGCCCTTTTGATATGATATTATCTGAGTCATCTTTCATATTTCCTTGCTTTCTGTTATAACGAGATGTTCCATTATTCCCTACA